GAAATCTTAGTAGCTGAGCATAAAAAGAATAGGAGCATACTGCAACGCATGTGAAGGCCATAAACAATATTAATTCTGGAACTTAAACATACAGTATATGGCTGGTCTTGGTATTTTAAAGAAAACATACACGAAACATGATCAAATTTAAACTGATCAGCTGATGGTCAGAGTGTTGATACTGTATATGTTACAGTAACACAAGAAACATCATCAACTAGACAGGGCTACTCAAGTTGTAGCTCTTCTAGTTCACTAAATCAGTAGTTTGACGCAATCAGAGCCATAACTGATATATTGACTCTGCTAATTTTCAAAAGTTAAGGAGAAATTGTGAAATTCTGAAACGGGGAGGACTAGAAAGGTCGTAGGCTCTGTTAAATCCTGGAGGTCTAGAACCATGACCATATTCTAATGTCCAGTGGTTTGTGAGAATAAGAATAAGTACTCTCAGTAAGTGAGTACAGAGTGAGGAGACCTGTCCCAACATTGAAAACAGGTAATATGAACAATAGGCAGAAGGCAAATATCACTTTCTACTAATTGAAGTGTTTATTCACTGGAATCATACTGTAATCAGATTAAAGAAAGTAAGGCCACATCTCATTCCAGCAAACAAAAAATGCTGTGTAAACTAAACTGTTGTAATCTGAAAGGGAACATTACATCTTCTTCCAGTTACCACCATAAGACAGGAGTATCAACGTCAAACTGCAAGATGTGAATGACGAAAAACAGGGATCGACAAAGATAATCTGCCCAATGAATTTTCATGGGATTCAAAACAACGCCACTTACTCTTACATACAAGTGTACAGGTTATTAAGTACAATTTAGTCCAGTATGAGACAGGGGCCGGTAGAGGAAAAAATCAAAATCAAAGAGAATTAGTATGATCATTTTTAAGGATAAAACATTTCACTAGTTACTTGGAAAGGTACCCCAATCTATTAAAATCTGTCACAGATTTTGTAAACATTAAAACCAGCTAACAGCTCTGTGTAAGAATTTCAACACTGAGACATAAAACTATCTAAACTAACTAAACTTAACTATCAGTATGTTTACAGGTAGAATCATGTCTGTCAGTGAAATATTCAATGGCAGCAGAACACTTCAGTTAATTTTCCATCCCAAAAGTATGCTATGATTGTTTAAAAGACAGTAAAAAAAGAAGTGTATTCGTCAGTATCATCAAAGGTAATAGAATAGTGCCTACATGAAGCGAGATACTGTAGGATATTCTACACATTCTTAATGTTAAGAAAGACAGAAGTGTTGGACAAGAGGGGTGCTTGTCTGAGGAGTTCTGATGAAATCATAGCTGGGAGAGACATGTTAGAAAACTAAACCATATACTCTGGGTATAGAAAATCACCACCCCCTTTCAAAATTGTTGCCCTAAATCCCAAAAAGAAGACAAAATCAGACTTTTACCAGTTTCATTTTCAAATTGTACCTTGCAAGATCCAAGTGAAAAAAGAAAGCAAAATTCCGCAATAAAAAATAAAAAAGTAGAATAACTGGGTTGAATAAGAGAAAAACCCCTGATATCGTTGTCAAGTGCACACAATGACCACTCGTTGCCATAAAGGCCCTGTTCAAAGTTGCCATCGGCCTCTTGGTAGCGTCTCTGCTCAGTCTCCTTCTTGCTCGATCATCCGGTTTGGAGGGATGGCCTGATCTAGGCAAGGTCTGGGTGGTGCCAAACGCCTTCCACTTCTTAATGGTGGTCTTGACTGTTCTCCATGGGATTCTTAAAGCCTTTGAAATCGTTTTATACCCAACTCCTGATTTGTGCCTTTCCACAACTTTATCTCCAAGTTCTTTTGAAAGCACCTTTCTACCCATAGTGGATTCTTTGCTTTGAAATGCACTTCCAAGCAGTAGAATCCTCTAGAAACAGCTGCTTTTATTCTGAACTAATCATAATCACCACAACTGATCACAGGTGGGAGCCAATTAGTTTGTTGCGTGATCTGTAAGGTGATTGGTTATACCCGAACAAGTTTACAAATGCAATTGTAACGTGGTTGTTCACTTATCCAAATAAGGTATTTTACTTTAGGAATATTAATTAAAATGTTTTAGAATTGTACTTTCATTTGGCTAATGTGGGTAACTGTGTGTAAATAAAAATGGAACAAGCCTAATTTAATTTGTTTTTATTTTCAGAGTGTAATACAACAAAATGTACACATTTTGAAAGGGGGTTGTGACTTCCTATACCCAGTGTAGTTCACCTACATTACACACATCGAATAAAACATTAAATGTCTTAACCATATATCTCACTACACTGTAGCTATAACCAGTAAACAATATATTTATATGAAATAAAAACTAATGTAATGTAATTAAAATAAACTAAAATTAAATTATCTTTGGAAATACACTACATTTTGTTAGGATCTCTATCATTTGAAACTACAGAAATTTCAGACTTATTTGAATGCTGAAGTCTCTGCTAAAATAGAGGATAATTATTTTTTTTAATTACAGTATATGATTCTGTGCCCTTTTTTCTCTATAATAAATGTCTTTAAATTCCTATTGCAGCAGCATAACTGTGTCTTGTGTATGTTTGCCAAATACATTTTTCTTTTTGTGGTGCTATTAAAAGATAAGAACTTGATATAATATAAAGCATAAATACTGCACCTACAAATTTTAAGCGGTATACAATTCAGTGGACAATACACATTTTTGAAACAGAGGAGATCCCATTGGCATGCATTCATGACTACTGAATCTACTGTATTCAGGCAGCAAGTTCACTGGGAAGTGCATTTTTGCCGTGAAATACATAAAGCTGTTACAATGCCGGACTTTTTATGGTGCCTGTATTTGTTATCCATCTTGAACATATAGTTTTGAGACACTAAATTCCTCTCTGGTGTCCAAAAAGCAGGAATGGTAAAAGCAACTGCCTTGTCACTTTAGTCTTTGTGTATCCCAAAAAAAGGATCACAACTTGAAGTTCCAGCATGGATAGTTCTGATGCATCGTTATAGTACTTACATTACTCATCTAACGCTATAAAAGTCAGGGCTTATCTTTTCAGTTGATATTTTTAATAGGTGAAAGCCTGTGATCCATTGCAGAATGAATTCCAGAAGACACCACAGAATGAAACCTTTGTATTGGTGAAATGACAGTACTTACGCCTTGTGAGCTCTGTGACTATAAATTGTGCAGGGTGTCGGTTCAATAGTACCTGTCAGTGCATCTGTGGGGCTCAGCTGCAGAAGACTTCTCTGTGTGTCTGGGTCAATGGTGACATCACTGGGAGACTGGGAGTCCTGCTCTTCCTCAAAAGCCTGCCATGACATCAGGCTGACATCATTCTCGTTGATGTAACCATTGGAGGTTTCACTGCTCACACTCTCACCTACAAGTTAATTTACAGAGGGTCATATATCAGTGCGCTGCTGTACTATTTGCTGCAAGGTCTTTTAGATTAAATCGGGAAGTAAAAAGTTCCTAGTGTTACAAAATGTGTCTTGTTGTGAGCTTGTTTGTCTTGTTTATACAAAAGCATCGTTTTGTCAAATTTAAAATTCAGTAGAACTTGGAAAATGCTACCAAAGGAAAATCTGCATGTGTTATAACAAGGCTCACAATAAAATTCTGTAAGCTCCCTTTTTGAATTGGAAACAATGCATTAGTAAATTATAAAAACTCAGCTTTTCGGTATGTATCCAAGGTTCTTAACCGCCTTACCCTGAAATTTACACATCAGCAGTAGCATACCAGCACTAGACACCAGCTACCAAAGCGTCTTTCTACAATTTTCAATTTTCTGTAAATTCCTAAAATGTTAATATGTTTACTAATATCAATTGGTTCTTCATCTGTTGCATTACTCATTCAGTACCTTTCCCTGCACTGTTTTTTATTTCAAGATTATATCTCTATATATAGTGTTATAAAATGCTCTAATCTGCATACTTCACTTTGTAACCAAGTTACTTGTTAAACTGTGACACTTTATTGTAACATCTGTGATTATTTTGCAATATGACAAATAACTTTCAGTTATGATCTACCAGTTATTATTTGATTTAATTACATTATGCTGTTGAGAGTTACAACTCACTTTTTTCTCGTAGTCTTGTCTTTCCGGAATGTAAGTGAGAGTCCCCAGGGTATTCTACATCAGGAGGACTGCTACTTCGTCGTACGAGAATCTTGAATAATTAAAAAAATATATTTAGCATTTGGGATACACAGATGGCTAAAAAGACATAAGCAGAAAAGAACTTAGATGCAACCTATACTCCTATACACACATTTCCAACAGTTTTACCACACTACGATCTTTCTAAAGGAAACGGCTAAATACTCAAATAGACAGGTCAGAAGAAAACAAAATGACTTCCACACTGCAGGCAGACGGAATTAAATGTTCAGAAAAGAAAAATAATTTAGCTTTTTGTAGCTGACTGGAAGTTATTGATGTAGGCTGTATCCCAGCCCAAAGCTCAAAGACTCACCACAGGAGGCTCACTCTCTCTTCTCACTCTCGAGGCGTTCTCTAGGCCACAGGTTCTCATGTCTGAACTACTGGCATTTGGTGAATACTCCCTTTTTTGACCTGTAATTATGCAGACATTTGGAAACAACCTCTGAAGAACAGACATTTAGATTTGCTGTTGAATGTGCTACAGAGTTTAGCATAATTAAAATCGAATTAGGTTAACACCAACCAAATTAGTCATGTGTAGGAACTCTTAATGAGACCGTCTTAAAACATCAGTTATCCTCACATCTGTAATTTGCCCTAAAACTCTCCTCTCTCATAATTTTCTCATTGTTGTGTACTTCAAAAATATATATTTTAAGCAGAGCCAATACAAGATCACCTATCAGATATCTTAAGATGTGAAACGTGTACAGCTAATTTAAATTTTTCTGTCAAAACAGCGTTTGTCTCAATCTCCTTTTTTTGTTTTGTTTATGCCAGTCTGTGACCCTGGAGATGTTAAAATAACTTCACTTCAAATCGGCAGATGAGTCATCATTAAACAGCCAATCCACTGTGTTACATTAATCATGTCAGTTCTGTTAGGGAACTGGCAGCCGGGTCTCGCTGACAGGCTGGTATCCAAGGCTGGTGGGGAGAGCTGAAGTGGTGGAGCTCGGGGGCCGCCGGGGATGGCCGAGGAGCTCGGGGGCCGCCGGAGATGGCCGTGGAGCTCGGGGGCCGCCGGGGATGGCCGTGGAGCTCGGGGGCCGCCGGGGATGGCCGAGGGAGGGTGGGGAGTGATGGAGATTAAGAAAGGGAAATGGCGGCTGGGAAGCGCAGTCTTCAGGGCAGGAACAGATAGGGAGACTGGGCTGCTGTGAGGAAACCCACTGGCCCGGTGCTGGGCAGGAGATTTGATATTATTGGGCGTTTTGGGACAAACTCGGAAGACCTCAGGCAGATTCGGACAGAGGCAAGCTTTCAGAGACGCGGGTCAGTACTGTAAACGCACTGCCGTTATCCTGAAAGCACCTCGATGACAGAACACCACACCAGTGGCGTAACAGGGTTAAAATAGTGAGTTTTAATGACTAATGACTTTAATGACTGTTAATTGAATGAGGGAGGCTGGAATAACAAGCCCAAGCAACTCCTAGGGGCTCCGGGTCGTATTCGGCCCCTTGCCGGACTGTGCCAAGCTTCCAAGGAAACCAAGTGCTGCGAGTTCAGGCTTGTACAGGCATAAAAGTATTACCACAAAACATTTACTTGGCAGATAAATAATGCCATAGATAGCCAGGCATTGTTTAACCTTGACATCCTAGGGATATCTAAAGTTTTATCCAGTCAGATATATCTCTCCACGTACAGCACACCTGGTGGAGAACAGTCAGATGTGTATTTTTCCAACTCTTAAGATCTTTGTCATATATATCAAATAATGTAATTGTCGCAACTGTTCCATGTAACTTGAGAGGAATTTTCTAATATCTTTTCTACCACCTGAAGTCAGCTTCGGGAACCTGATGAAATGATTCTTGCTTAGTTTAGTGAAACATGAGTGTCAATACAGTACAGACGACGGGCAGTTATGAACCAAACGCTAAAAAAAAAACATGCCCCCCAAAAAATGCCCAGCCCCACTCCAGCTACTACTTCTAATAATAACAGGAGCAAAAAGTAACGAACAACAGAGACAATATCAAAAAGAATCCCGAGTGGCTAAGAAAGAGTTCGGCCTACTCAACTGGTTGTAGCAGAAAGTGTCTTCAGCTACTGCTTGAATGTTTGAATGAGCAATCGGCGGGCGGGCTGTATAGCCGGACTCGACAAGCAGAGAGGGAGAACGACAAGCGGAGAGGGAGAACGACAAGCGGAGAGGGCTGCAAGCCGAGCAGGCCCCGCCCGGAGGGGGGCGCCTCTCACCGCCGCGGCCCTACCATACCTTGAAGCGTTTCGGAGAGCTGCCGCGCGATGTCGGAGGTGCTGCTGCTGCGAGGGAGCCCCTGCTCCCCCAGCTCCGCGGGCTCCCCCTCGGCCCCGCCGTCCGCCGGCGGGCACTCGTCCACCTCTGCAGCCGGCAGCAGGAAACACAGTCAGACCCTCCACAAGGGCGCCAGCGCCGGCTGCGCTGCCTTGAGTTCATGTTAGTCAATTAATGAGCGGAGCTTCGCTGGCTTCTGTGTGCATGGGTTATGTGGAAGTATTTATCGCTTGTTACTGTTCAGTAGGACTAAGATGGCTATATTGTCACAAAGGGGGTATGTATGAGGGGTAGAACAAAGATATTTACACTTTATATACATCACCAAATGTATATAAATATGTATACAGACTGTTACTAGCAACCTAACAAACCATGGACAAACCGGATGGACTTTAAGTTCTTATACTGTGCAAAAGTCTCAGACGTTTTGCACTGTTTCCCTCTTTTCACTCAGTATTTTTTCTTAACATAAAACACAACATTTTGTGGCACTCTCCCACTGGGATTTTAGCCATTTTGTTTTCAGATAAGTATTATCTGAAAGATAATAGTAAGATAGTAGATATGTATTAAACAGAGCAAAAAGTAGTCTTGGTGTGTGAAGAACAACATGTCGATGATGAGAAACACCTCCCCATGAGTCAATTAGATTGTATCGGTAAATATAGTTTAACTTTTTGAATGTGATAAAGTTTTGGTTCTGATCAATGTAAATTAAAATTGCTTTTGTTTCTTTTCACCCAAACTAAACAGTGTAATTTTAATGGTAAAAAACGCTACTGGATCATCTGGTGAATTGTTGGTACTTATAATGTACACTGTAACTCCTGAATTCATCTAAGATGTCTGCAATGTAGTGTACTCTATATATCGATTAACCTAGGATATATCAACTACTAAGTCTAACATTTAAATATAGAAAGTTAAATATTTCAACAGCTAATAGGTGGATTGCCTCAGCTGTATGTGAATTGCCTCAGTAACAGTAATTTTAAACTCAAGCACAAAAAAGGACAAAGATAATAAGGATATTTACTTAAATTCTTGCACTAGGTGAATTCTAGCAAGCAGATTCTAATAATCTGTATTTTAGTTCGGATCTTAAGTTTTCTTCCCGATTTCTATTCTTATTCTTTTAAAAGGAGACAAATGAATAAGACATTTAAATGCTTACAGTACATAGCACAGTGCTTCTTAAATTTTGAATGAAACAAAAAGGCTGCTTCTTAGTTGATGCAGCACTTGCAAGATGAACTGTGCATAACATAAAAACATGCGAAGGGAAAACAAACAGAAAACTCAAGACATGCACAGAAAGTGATAAGAAGTGAAGCAAAAGCTGGCTTTCAAGTACACTACCTGAAAGTCTCTGAGAACAAGAGCTGGAAGAGATACCAGGCAAGAAAGAGCTCACAGTGTGTAGAAGCATAGGCACACTTTTAGTAGCAGGCAAAGCCTCGTAAAGCTGCACACAGTTGCTGATAGACTGGCTTCGCTTAGCTTTCGTTGGAAAAGAGTGAGAGAAGGATATATGATCAATATAGAATCCAAACCCAACCCACAATATACATCATCATAATTATACAAATGCCATCAAAGCTAGTCAAGTTATTTGATAATTACATGCACGAAGGGAAACAAAAAAAAATGAAAAAAGATGAACTTCAATAAGTGCTCGTTAACAGAAACCGAGCTGGATTCCAGGCTCACAGAATAATACCAAAGCCTCATGACCAGGAGCTGAAAATACTTTCAGGAAAGACTAGGAAAGGAAAGTCAAGGAACACCTGAAAAATTGACAATGTTATTAAATAGAGACAGCACCCTGAAAACAAAAATTTGGTGAAATAATGACATACAAGTTATTTTTTAATAACAGCTTGTTAACCACAGGGATTTAAAGCAGATGTTTTTCTTTTACTCTATCAGTACCGTCAATATTTAAAATCTTTACTACTTTATAACTCCATAGATACAGAATGAGCAAGGACACTTTCATTCTAATGACACTTTAATGTTTGCTCTACAATGTGTATAAAATGTTGTGAAAGAACTTATCTGTGTGTAAGGGAACAGTCAAGAGCAATGGTGAAAAGCAGTCACAGTCTGGCATTTAATTAAAAACCTTAAAACAATTAATTGTTTTACTAAATGCATTTTAACAAACGAAATACATAATACTTTATATGCAGAACAAATGGTATCACTTTTAACGAAGTATAGATTAAAAAGTATACCTATAGTTTCATGTTTTGTTTTAGGACTATTCTATCTTGTCTGTACTTGAGTCTTAATCTTTAAGAAGGTTATGAAAGGGAAGTATTATGCTTTGCAACAACACATTTTAATTACTCCCTTTTCAGACATTTCATTATTGCTGTATAGTGTATCTTTTACGCATTTTAATAAGCAATTAATTATATTCCTAATGAAACTATTAAGATGGCTGTGTGATTGATGTTTGAATTCTTAAAATGAAGGGGATATTAGTGTGTTTGAAGTTCAATGCATGAAAAATCCAATTAGGAAGAGAAAAGGGAAATCTGAGGCAGCCTGTGTTTTCATCTCACACACAGAGGCAGCGAACTTCAGAGAGCTCTCCTTCAGGCTGAACTACATCTGTTTAAAACTTAACAAGCTCTTAATATTGTCTATGTGTAATAATTTATTATCAAAAATGAATGTATTCAAAAACACTTAGCATTATTCACTGTATTCCCTGTTCTGCATCCTGACTTCACACTGCCTAAGTGTGTTGCATTAATTAAGAACACAACACAAGACATACAGTACATGAAATCGAATGGTATAGAAAGGCAGATAAACAAGTACTACCATCAGAAAAAGGCTAATGTTCACTTTGCAAGTCGCTTTACAATTGTTAAGATTTTTTTTCAGTTTTCAGCTTTTCAATAAAGTTCTTATTTTTAATCAAAGGGAATTAAAATCAAAGAGTGAAAAAGTGAAAACAAAAACACAACCATAATTTGTAACCCAAAGAGGTATTATGACGCATGTATTTATTTCACTTGCATTCACTTCAATGGACATAGTGAAAGCAGTAGGTATACTGATTGGCTTCATAGACAGTCCAACGGCAGATAAGGAGAGGGAATCAGGCACTTGTGAGACGACTCTTTCATCACCACCCTGTCACTTAGAAGTCTTTGATAAACTACAAATAATGCTTTAAATTATTTATGAGGTGACGTGCGCACCCCAATTTGTAAACTGTCAACGGGGATCAGTTCTGTTTAACTACTGACTCTGAAACATGTAGCCTTTCAAAGGTGAAGCTAAAGAGCACAATAGACACCATCTGCTTGCCTTTTGTGATCAGGAATTATCCCTTTAAGAACACGCAGCCACAGCCAGCACCCACTGAAATGCACTGTTTCGCTGTGTATCACAGTCCATAATGCAATCTTGTTATTGTATCAAGCAGAATACAATTTGCTAAGTGAGCCAATTAAACAAGATATAAAAGTAAGATGCATAGGTAATGACTTGCTGAAAACCATACAATAAAGCACTGAATAGAAACCATTATGTTGCTTGTCAGCCTCTACTCTAGAAGATTTCCTTCGACATATGTTGTGATTTCACATTCATGTGATCCTTTTGTGGCGAGCAGTATTTTCTAAAAGATATTTTGCAGCATGTTTGCATTTTTAGGTCACGAATATCAGTTTCATAGACTTGGACAAAGACATTTGCACATCTGAGCAATTTGGAAGAAGAAAATAATTGCCTCTATTTTTTTTTACACATTTTGGAGGGAAACTGCTGTTTTATGATGGCAAGGTAAGACCCAGCATTTGCCAGACTTGATATAAAAAAAACTTTAAAGTAAAAAATAGTCTGCACTACAGTTTATGTTTTCATAACCACCCTGAAAATTTTAAATCTTTTCTTCCAAATCAAGGAATTCATGGGCAGCAGAAGTCACAGAAAAGGGATAAACATGGTCTATTTGGGGCACTGTGTATCAAACAACCAGTTACAGTTTATACTGTAGGTGCCAGAGCAGAAATCCAGAGAGTGGGCCAATATTCACTCTAAAGAACTTTCCCTGGAAAGGGACTTTCACTTACAACCTAAAATTAGAATTAAACTTTGGAATCATAGAATACTTTCACGGTAACTGTGCTGCCAAACACACTCCTTTAGAAATTGACCTGCCCCTTTTCAGGGGTCAAGAACACATTTACTTTTAGAAAGGTTCAACTTGTCACAAACACCTCGTTTAATGAATATCTGCACTACAGCACACTGCCATTCTTGTGATCATGTGCAGTGCAAAAAGAACCCTCCACAAACAGGACTCCTATTTGATTTGTATATACAGTATTAAAAAGTGATAAAGCAACTTCATTGGCTCCCATCATGACCTGGGTCCTGGGTAACTGGTCAGGTTGTTATTCCTCAAAAATTGCAAATCTCGAAAAGGTGATTTCCATCCTTTACTTTAACAATGAAAAGTGACTGAGGGGATTCATCTGCAGTACGTTTGTCCCTTATTCAACTGAAAAAAGGCTTAATTTAGAATGATTATACTGCCATTCATTTCACTATAAGATACCTGCTCACTATTTATGTTAACCTTTTTCCCACAATGTCGTTGAAGGTGTGAAAAAAACTCTCATTAAGGGTTACGGAAAACCTTTGGTGATTTAGACTAACATACTGTACTAGGACAGGCAGCCTAAAAGAATTTATTTTGTGTTGTTGATTACTGGTGTCAAGACTGATTAATAATTCCAAGCAGTATACCAAGAAACCTGTGTCAAACATGCTTCAGGAACAAAGTCTTAGAATGACAGCAGAAAAAAGAACTACAAGGAGGCTTTGATCTTGCCATAAACATTAATGAGAATGTCTCTTCTAATTTTCAAATGATTTCTTACATGGTTAGGCTTTAATGCCATCCCCCCAAAAAAAATCACAAAGAAACTCTAAAGCCATGTACCCAATATACAAACTATACAAAGGATTATACTGTACATTAACTGTATCACAGGTAAACATATCGCCACAAAAAGAAGTGAAGCTATATACAGCATTTGAAAGTACAAAATTACTGGGGTATCATATTGAACTAAAGGTTATGTTTTCACTGTAAACCAAAAATCTTAAACTTATCATGCATCCAGATATTATTTTAAAAGGGTTAAAATAACATTTTAAAAACTTAATATGATGCCATCCTGACCTGTGGCTTTTTGGCGAACATTATTTCGTGCTTTCTCCACCCCTGGAGCCCCTGACGTTGTAGCACTTCTGAATCTCATTGGCTCCTGGGCATCTGCCTGATTCTTCCAGCTCAGAGAAAATGACCTGCCAACTGCTGCTGCTTTTTGAGCATCTTGAATCACACCTTAAAAACAGACAATAAACATGTTTACGGGATCTAAGAGTACCCGGCCACCATCTTAAGACAAAGCACACTTATCAGCTTGCTGAAAGGCAAAAAATTATTGAATGGCGAGCGGCTGTACAGTCATACAATTGAGATGCCATACTAGCATATAAGAGGACCACTGTTCCCTTTATATCCCACAATGCCCAAACACAACAGTCACTTCTCAAAACACAAAAAGGCTTTTACCACTTCACTCACTCCTTTCAAATGCAGACAAATGTCACCCATGAGAATTCACTACACTCATAGCCTTGTAACAAGGACTACTCTCAGCTACAATCAACCATGAGCACTGATTATTTTATTTAAAGGAAAATTGATCTGATACTCCTGCATTTTTCACTGTAAATTATGTTTTATCAACTTCCAATGAATTCAGACTGTAGGCCTAACTTAGAATGGTTGTTTTTGTAAGATACCGTGTAACAAAGGACATATAATGATTTTTTCATGCAAATAATCTTGTAGAGCAATGACTCAATTATTCAAATGATCGTAGAATATAACCAATGGAAGTTTAATGCTAAAACTAAGAAGAAATTAAATTGGTTACGTCAATGACAATCTGAATTACATTTTTTCCTACAGTAACTAGAAAAAGTTTGCAATTTCCAAAGATAAATATGTAATTTTCATAATTTTACTATGTTAGCCTTCTTGAATAAAAACCAGTATTTATGGATATACCCAACAGGGTTTATAATTGCCAATTCCATGTCTTTTGGAACAAAAATGTGTAATTAAGGTACAAGGGAAGTGAAAAAGTAAATGAACCCCTAGTTTCCTTAGCTCAATTAGATGAACGATTAGAATCAGTTGTTTAAATAATTAGGTAGATCCTGAGTAATCAGTTTGGAAGGCCCCACCCTAAAGATCAGGAACATGAGTTTGGTCTTCACCATACACTTGTGATAGTAAAGTTATGCCATGAGGATCTCACAAAAAGAGTTATTGATCCTCAAAACCATTTCTATGGATCTGGGGTTTCACCAAGACACAGTCAGACAAATAGTCTACAGAGAAACGTCTAGGCCACAGTCACTCTATCTGAGAGCAGTCATCCTACTAAAGTCTTTCCAAGAACAAACTGGAAAATCCTCAAGGAAGGTACAGTATAAAGAACTCCAGAGTATCATCCAAGGAACTGCAGGCCATTCCTGCTTTGGCTAATGTGGCAGATCATGACTCAATTATAAGAAAACGACTGAACAAGAACACTGTCGATGGAAAGATGGCAAGGAGAGACTGCTCTCGAAAAAGAACATTGCTGCCTGTCTGAAATTCACCAAATTGCATATGAATGATTCACAAAAGGCTTTTGGAGCAATGTTCTGTGGACAGACAAGTCAAAGGTAGATGTCTTCTACCTCAATGAAAAACGTTGTTTGGTGAAAAACCAAACACTGTTTTCAAAGAGACGAATAACAGCCCAGCTGTCAAGCATAGTGGTTGGAGTATCATGCTTTGTTGCCTCAGGACTTGGATAACTTGACACTATTGTCACAACAATACATTCTTCATTGGAAGGAGAATAACAGGCCATCCATCCATGACTTGAATCGGATCTGGGTCTTGTAACAAGACAATGATCATAACCATGCAAGCAGATCTACCAAAGAATGGTTGCAGAAAAGAGAAATTGCAGTATATGTTTTTGCAATGGCAAAGTCAAAGATCAGACTTAAACGCCATCGAGATGTCTTTGCAAGCCAACTCTCAAATGTCACAAAGGCACAGGAGTTCTGTATGGAGAAAGGGGCCAACATCCTTCCAAACTGATGTCAGAGACTGATCAATGGTTACAGAAAATGTTTAGTTGTAGTCATTGCTACACAAGGTGGTACTACAAGTTACTGAATTTAAAGGTTTTCATATTTTATCACCTATGGCTGTTAAATGTTGTATCATTTAAGGATAAATAAATGTCGTGTTTAATCAGGTTAAATTAATCTTTTATTAGGACTGTAATTTAATAACATTTTAGGTTTCATAAACTGTACGTGAAATAAGTGAAAAAAGTAAGGAGTTCACAGATTTTTTCTCTGCACTTTAAATATTAATATACAAACAACAGAGTTAAAAATCCACTGAGATCAATGATTTGAAACATGTGAAGTTACAACTGGGAGTTACAATTAAAAGGAATGTCATGTACAGTACCTCTGCCTCTCTGTATCTTTTCTTTCTGTTCACTCAGCTTGTCCAGGGGCAGATTGCTCATATCTAGACCGTAGACCGAGCGGACTAGCACTGTCGTCAGGGAGTCCATGATGTTGGCCCACTCGTTGATCAGTTCCTCCCAGTCAGTAAGAGACGATAACACACTGAGGAGCTCATCCCATAACTCCCTGGATACAAACACGCTCAGATTGGCTCGCACCCAGGCCACTATTATTGTCTGAACACAGAAAGAAGTGAAAGACAGACAGGAGTTATCAACAAACCAAAGCAAATTTCCCTCACGGGATCAATAAAGTATCTATCTAAAACAAAATTATTCAATGTGTAATTGGACTGTTAGGTATTTACATAAATGGAGGAAAACTAAATTACTAAATTAAACTATTCCATATAATATTGTCCACAGAGAGCTTAACTCACCAGCCATTTACTTTGCTCTGTTTAGTGACATACTGTACAATATTCTTTGACTTACAGATGCCATCATGTAATGGTTAGAAATATTGCTAATCATACCAAGACTAAGAAACTACACTCATTCCGAAATATGAAATGTAAAACTCAACCACTATTCTACTCAGAATGTAAAACATGCTTTTCTGCTTAATAATATTATTTCCAACCCTATTACCACCACATCCCACTACACGCCTAAAACTCTCCGTAACAGTCTTGATCTTTTGTTCATTTCCTTACAAAAATAAAAATAATACACAGAGCACTCTTAGTTAAACAACCTGACTAAACAGTTTTTCACTATATTCAATTCAATTATAATGTTAAAAATTAACATATAATATTATTATAACCATAATGCAAGGTATCTCATCCATTAACAGCATTCTCCTTTACAATTCCATTTATACATTGTGGTGGACCAGCCTAAACTGGGACTGCAATCACAGGCACACGGCCACTAGGGGGTGCCACAGGGCCTCTCATATTTGTAAATAGACTTGCTAGGTATCGCTTATTAGATTACTAGTGGGGGTGAAAAAGTGCACATTCTCACATAGGGTTTAACTAGTGTCTTCAGTATATAAAGGACACACTCTGCTGCAGAAGGCTGGTGCTGTATTAGCAGTTAAGAGACAGCTGTTGGAAAGTCTTTGGCTGTAAATATTTGGAATAAAATCTCCTGTAACTACTTTCATGCCCCACGCTGAGGTTTCACGTCTGTAGATCCCTCGCACTGTCCTAGCTCGGGGTGGGGTCTGTCACGCATCGTTACCAGGAAGCTTCTTGGAGCCTCCTTGTGTAGTGCTTACCCGGAAAAGGAGACATGCCAGGCTCTCTGCAAATGGGTCCTTCCTCTGGTTCTCCTGAGATCTCCGCATCACTGCTTCTGTTATTCTGAGCAGCACCTGCAGCATCTGTTCCCTGTTCAAACACATCCCATCATGCGTGGAACCTCTCAAAGTTACTGAGCAAAACCACAGAAATATACAGTACCTTCCCATTCCAGGCAGGTGTACCTGTCTACAATATACGGTACCATGTGTTTTTTTTTCTTTTTACAAAATATACCTGAACTATGAGGAGTTCTGAATGGTATGTTTTTATCATTTTAAAAAGATCAACATAATCCCGCTCATAAACCTTTTATCACTTTAAGACTTGAGTAACATTTTGTAACAAGAGTCTAAATAAAACCACTTTTAGTAAAAACAATTTCTGAAAAAAGATACTGTTTGCAAATAAATGTCCAGTTTTTAAAAGACATGTAAGATGTAGTGATTTAGAAAGGTAAACCAAAATACATTATAAACGACATAAAAAAGTCTAAGAGCTTATTCAGGGCACCCCATAGTAAATTATAAAGAATGTTTTGAATTGTCTCAATATAAAAGTTTTACAGCAATTAAACGAGAGCTGCTGTGAAAAGCCACTCCAGAGAGTGTTTTTAGATCTTTTGTATCTACAGTACAAGGGTCAAAGGTAAAGTAAAGCCTCTTATTCTAACTAATTAGAGATAAAACGAAAGTCAGGCCTTTCTACTGGTCCTTATATACAGTATTTAAAACAAAATATAATCTGGTGTATTTAAATACCAACCATGTCTTTTGGTTCATGGTGTGTTCCATAATCATCCGTCTGTAAATACTAAGCACTCCTTTACACACATCAACCTGGTCTTCCATTAGCTTGGGGACATCGTGGCACGGTTCAAGTAAAAAGACATTGGCTGAATTTGTGAGGAACACCTTTGGAAAGAAAGGACACTCCTTTCACTCTGTAGTTACAGTACATGATCTAAGATAAATCTTATCAAACTTTTAAGATTAGAAGTTAACAAGGTTAATCAATTGCAATTGTTACACTATTAGTCCACACACCCTGCTAATTATCAAATAAAACACACTTTAATTTTCTTTAGACACATTAAGCGCTCTGAAAGACCAAAGCAACAGCTTAAAATAATATTTAAAAACCCAGCATCCTGTTTTCTTTCTGAAATGAGTTATGAGGTCCAGGGAGGACCACAGGTCTATACCTGCATTCATAGAGTGCTATTAGGCAGACTTATTTGTGGTGCAGTTCCAAAAGGACATAATACAGCAGCAGTTCTTTAGCACATTAATTAATTAATTGATACCTACTGATATGGCTCAATCCCATCTTGCACTTGACCAGGTGGTTTTATAGGAATAAGTCTCCTGGGATAAAGAAATCCCCCATCTCTCAAGTGCTGTTCATAAGTAGGCCACAGTATTCAAGCTGCATTAGCCTGAATTCAAACCATTAACCAAGTGGAGCCACACTCATTTAACTTTTATTTTTTGTACTCTGATATAGTCTATAGTCTACAAATAAAATAAATAAAAATAAATAGCAACTTACTGGTCTACGCATTTTTTTAGAAAAATACTGTACGGGGTATATGGATATTGATAAACCTTTTATGATTTCATTTTAACTGATCAATCGTGTCTGACTGTGATCGTTGCGTAAGTGCTAAATCGGCTCATTAGTGAAACAACTGACTGGACCCAGATGAAGAGGTAATTTAACCTGTCAAGTGTCAAGCCTGGTAAAACATTATGAAAGATGAATACAGAAAGGAACCATACACTACAGCTGTCAAGAGAACAGCATCTTTCAGCCTTCAGTATACTGGAGAAACATCTAAGGTGGACCCATCAGCGATAGAGCCAAGCCCTCTTGAATCAAGACGTGTGTAGACCACCCTGGGTGATTCCAGTGAGTGTGGCACTGACACGCAGAATTAATCGATTGTTGTATACAACAGACACATTGCTGGAGAGGTCCAAATGTGATGGGTTTTGCAGGAGATTCTGGATGCCACAGAACCCCACTTGCAGTGAATTGACTACAGGACACTGCACAACACTGATAATGTCCATGCACTGCACCTGCTGCCCTTCCTGCAGGTTTAACCCAACACGACAAGATTCAAGCAAGACGATGCACGTTCACTCTCTGCTCATTTACAAGACGGAAATATCACAGATATACTGCTTGTACTTCTTCCCACTGTATACGACTTTCACAGAATACAATCTGTTGATCAATCACATTGACGACAAATTTATTTGAGTGAGCCCGTTCCAGAGGCTGGTTTTTTAAGGTGACTCCAAAATCAGGACTCAGATTAAAATAATGCAATAAGAAAATCTATTTGTGCTGAAACCATGCACTTTTGCGAGGCATAAAAGCGATATGGTCTTGTTAGCAATTAATGTGAGCAGAATGAACAGAAACTACTAACAGACATTTACAGCATGTGTGCATTAAAGATGCTGAGAAACCTATAAGAACGAATAAGTAGTCGAAGTTGTTCAATACAGTGTGTCCAGAGCACACATGAACACAGCACAGAACTCCAGAATTAAATTCTGATTAGGGGAAAAAATAAAAAGTCTTCTGTTTCTTCTGAAAGCTACACTTCTATAAAACTGTTTGTGCAAAGCATTTTATTACAATATTCACATTAGCGCTTGAAAGAAAATGGGGGACCACATAACCAAAGAAGGGCCATTCTGGTGGAGAGCCTTTGCAAACAGACACTGGAAGCAAGGCAGTACCTGGAGCACAGACTGGATACCAGCCTTGACGTCCCGGTTCTCCTCTTCAGAGATGCAGCCTCTGCTTATTGCACTGCTGAAGGAATATGTTCTGCCCCAGCTGGAGGTGCGCTTGTGCCCAGAGCTTTCTGTGGCCTGATGAAACATTACAGCATTCCCGTCATGAAACACATCCCTTGTCCGACACCTAGAGACAACCTAGGCTTTCTTCGTCTTTTCCAGAGTACTTACTGCAAAGTAGCTTACCCTTAGCTAAACCATACTGCATGTACTCACTTTCAACAGACAACATGAGGGCAAATAAAAGAATAAAAAAACATAGGTCCTAAATATTGAAGAAGTTTGTGTTTAAAAAAGCATGGATTTGTTTCAAGAAAATAAGGCAGGTTACAAGTGAGATGAGGTGCATCTAGCCAGTTTGGTAGTGAGTAGCTAACTGATCCAACGATCTAACCCAGCCATATCTTGAAAGATGCCAGGGTACCGGCTTCATCATCCCTTCAACTCTTTCTGTGAAAAAAATGCTTCCTGTTCTCAGATCTGAATGATTTTCCACTTATGCTCCCTGATTCATGTTTTGCTGTTCTTTCTGAAGACGCCCACTGACTTCAAATGCCTTTGGAGGTTTTTTTAACTTGTATTGGGTCCCCTTGCAGTCTCCTGGGTTTGAGAATAAAAATGTTCATCTCTTTCAATCTGTCCATGCAAGGGTTCTCCCTTAAACCCTGGAATGATAGATTCTAGAGCAAAAATATATTTTCTGTAGTGTGATGACTACAATTCTCTCCAGTAACACCTCAGTATTTCTGAGGTTTAAGTACCTTGAAGTCTCCATGAAAGGCAAATTCACAAATGCAGGACCTTATGGAGAAAACAGTATGGTTCCACGTCTCGTAAAACGAGCACTATGCAAAATTAAGCAATTTTTAATGAACAAAGCACTTTTTTCCTCCTTGAATTTAAAATAAACACATTCATGTAGATCACATATCATACCTTACCCCGTATTAGAGCTTTTATTGTCATTCTTAGCGGAGTGTGTTTATTTGCTTTTTCATCTTGTTTTAATGCCTATTCTAGATGCAGCACTACTGCACTGTAATATGGTTATTACAGGAGCGCGATAACGGATGAGGCGGAAAAGGCAGTGTGAAAGTGGGGGCCTCAGGGGGACAGAGAAGAGGGGGTTTTGGCCTCTGCTGAGTGGGAGTGGGGGGTGTGGATGGAGAGGCAGCAGCCTGCTCTCCTGCTCCTGCGGCTCGTCTGATCTCTTTCCTCTAACTGATTTAATCCGTTTCTGTGAGACACACGAGGACTGAGGGTGTGGTAACTTAACGGCACCACGTAGATTGCTTTTGTAATTTAACGTTACTTTTATTTTGCAGTATAACAGAGTCACATACAGGGTATTACTCTCATAACAGGTCTGGGCACAATGTACATCTAACATTTCCTGATGGAAACTGAATAACCCATCATGCATCTCTGCATAGGCATGTAAGCTCTTTGATAAGCAAACTACGCCTTTACTACAGGCTGGGCGAAGAAGATCCGAGAGATGAAAAGTGGACGGCCGTATTTACTCTCCCACTCCACAGCCTGTGAATAAACAAATTTGGTCCGAAAAAGCAAAAAAATTACTAACTACAAATTTTGCTTGAAAAGGCCAAATCTGAAACGTAGAACTCGTGAATAGCAACGTTTTACCGTATAGTTGTCTAGTCTTACTAGTGCAGTGTAAAATTCAGAGATAATTAATACAACTTAAAAAATTAAGTTTGTCAACAGTCTTGGCCAAAATATCTGAGCTACTTTTGGATTAACAGGTGTGATCTTCTTTTTGAAAAAGTATTATTAACACCAGACTTTGGAGATTAGAGTTTTGGTAGCTGTTGGTAATTTATTTGGGATTCAGAAGAATCATCCATTCTAACGACACCATTACCATCTTCATCTTTAACAGACAGCTAACTTTTTTTAAAGAGGAGGCCAAACGATATCCACGGTCCCTGCACCAGCAGCAGTTATTACCTGTTTGCTGTCAGTCTCTGATATTAGCAAATGCACAGGGATGTCGTCTCCCTCCTCTTCTTGCTTGGTCTTTTCGGGCTCTGTCATGAACATAGGCTTCTCTTGCAGAATCCATTTTCTGTAAACTTTAATCACTTTCCGTGTAGCTGAAGCCTCGCAGGAAGGCAACAGAAAAGCCTGAACAACACCAGCGTGAGACGTTAGGATGGAAAGACATGTAGCACTAAGACACGTTATGGTTTGTTGAGTGATGACTAAAAGAACAGGGCTGTACTTTACATTTCACAGATTCGTCACATTACTGCAAAGAACCAGATTCCTCCCCGATCGGGATTTTCAATGTCCACACTAATACAAACCTCGCATATCTCTCTTCCTATTTTTTATTTCGTTATGGTAACAGAATCATATGCAAAGTACCTTAAGAATGTTACTAAACTGAAGAGGACCAAAATTAGGTTCGCTTTTCAGGTTTGATCATAGGTTTAACATAATATATATTAATCTAATCAGAAAGGAGAATTAAAAAATATACAATATAAGCAAAGTTTTAACGAAGAAGGGCTTTTTGGCGGGGCCACTGCAGTTTCATCAGAGTTGCAGCTGAGATCTGCTTAAACGCCACAAGAGGTCAGCATAACACAAGTTGACGTTACTTCTCTGGTTGAGCGGACAACTAACAGTAACCACTTTTATCGTATTCATGCAGTGTAGATGACACAATGTGCAAAATATCTGCCCTACCAAAGATCAAGCAATAAGACTTTGAATATAATTAATATAGACTTTGAATAATATAATCTCCTTTAAAACAAACGAGGCAAGAGTATTTCCCACCTTTTACCTAACACTAAGGTTTATTCTGATTCAGCATGTTGCCAACATGGTCCGTTGTTATTAAATCAAAGACAGGCATGATGTAATATCGATGTTATCGGAATTGTTCCTGATTGCACGCGGGGCTAAAACTGAATGCCTACCTGATGAAAGACCTCATTGACAAAATTGACGTTGTCCCTGGTGGACAGGAGGATGCTGTGCACCATGTCATAGACAGAGCGGTGCTCCTCCTCGATGCTGCACAAACTGGAGTTACTGTGCCGGCGGTCCGACAGGGTGCTGCTGTTAGAATGGTTCTTGTCCTGCTCAACAGGACAATTCGACTCGGCCTCCGCGTTCTTCTCCTGACTGGTACTGCCCGCAGTCACAGTCTGCTCGCACACAAGATCACTGCATTACCACACCGGTACAGTAGAGGGCCACAAACCCTCGGACACACCAGCCCTGTTGTCAGACTGCCAGCACATCACGCTCTTCAGAAGTTATGAATGTGCTGACTAATGCACACTTAAGGGCAAAACAGAAAAGGCTGATAATGCAACCAGATATCCTCTTACCACATAATGGAAAGCGCGTGCTGTTTTGTTACAGCCACGATAAACAAAGAGAAAACTATACAATATAGAAAAAAAATAACAAAAGAAAACAAGATACAAAATTAGCACTACCATCTTACCAAAACAGAAAAGAGTAATTGATGTTTTGAAAGTTTTTTACGTAATGCTCAGTGTTTTATTCAGATACACATAAGATAATGCGAAGCAATGTACCGACATTTTTGTAAATCTTAAATTAATAACATTGGCAATGTTTGTTATTTGCATGAGAGCTCGGCATTGACCTTTTGGATAAACTAAAACATCCAATTATTTATTAAGTGACAGAACCTGTTAACACTATTCTAGGGATAACCTGAAAGCAATATATTAGCACATTATTACTGAAACACAGCTTGTTGAGTGCTACTACATGACTAACACGTGTAATTCATGCCTTATTAAAAATAAACATGCATATGTATTTATCAGTCACGATCTATTATATACGGATTGTCAACCTTTTGCTAAGAGTGCGCAGGTCAAAGTGAGAAAAGTGATGCATGCTTACTAGGTGCCACTAAAATGAAGTATTAGCCAAAATACTGTATGTAGCTGTATGCAAAGCATAGTTAAATCTGTGTTGATCTTCCTTCTGTTAAAAGACATTTTGAATTGTGCTAATTTTGGAATTACAAAGTACTCCTGCAGAGCTTCTTGTCAGAACAGACTTAACATACCTGAATTATCTTGGGAAGAACCTCAACTCCATTTTTACTGTTCTGAACAGCAGTCGTGACATACTTCTTTTCCAGAAAGAAGGTCACAAGCCACTTGATAAAAGCAACACGTGGCGCCAGGTATTGGTCCCTTGTGCAGTACGTGCTCTCATTGTTGCGAGTCACAGGAACATATAAAGGCTTTGGTCTGAGGTGAGGAATATCTAGACAACAGAACAAGGATTGGGTCATCAGTATCAATATTTGCTGTCATCTGGTGTCAAGCACGATCGTTTGAAATAGTCAAGGCAGTAGATTTACACAAAGTACACACTGCTGCCTTTTTCATTTAAAAAAGAACTTGAAAATCATGCATTACATTAAGCACATTAAACCTTCTGCAAAGACACTTTATCCTGGGAAACAAAGCTGTTTGCAACTGCCAACTGCATTGTGAGAATTAAATTGTGTGCTGGGAATGAAAGTTTTCAGCTTTTCAAACACACTGAGGAGATAAAGAGTATGAGACCTTCATTCTATAGGAGCCTGTTTCATTTTGTGCCCAACATTTACATTAAGTAACATACAATTATGGAACAATCAGGTTTTTTCCCCACTACGGGGATTCTTTTAATGCTTTTAGTACAGTACACTCTATTTGCTAAATACCAAAATACTGTAGTGTATTGTTTTCCATCAGTTATTTTTGCATTGAAGAGAATGCTACAGTAAATCATACAGTATACTGTATTTAATACAATGCAGACTTTCACAAATGGAAATCAATCAACTGTTTGGATTATTCAAACTCTTATGCAATGCCATGCCCATGAAATAACTTCTCCAACTGCAGGTGTTATTACTAACTAATACACCAGAAGCAGAAAGCTTTTAATCTTAGAAAATTATTAGTGATGTCTCAACACCAGCAAGTTCATGTGTCTGTACACGGCCACATGCCCTTGACAGGATCTGTGGAGCTCTGCAACAGCACAGGTTAGAGAGGGACTGGCACTACATCCATTCATCAACGAGGGGGTGTGCAGCTCTCTCTTGAACTCCAGTCCTTAATAGGGAACCTGGTAAGTTTTCTGAGTCACCTAGTACCTCACAGTACTACTATTTCAAAATGTAATCGCTCCTGGCATTTGAAATAAAGGCACAATGTTTGTCTATTGAGAGAAGATGGGGGAGGTCAATTCCCAGTATGTAACTGGTAGCTCCTGGAATAATACTGACCTGAGCTTTTTTTATTTAAAACATTCCAGGAACATAGTCAGCACTTTTGGTGTTTGCCTTAGCTTAAGTGATAATACAGTTTAAAGAGCTGAAAAACACGGTTTGCATTATTGCCAGAAGAACTCTAGAAATATCAAGGAACGAACAAAGACGAGAGGCTTGAGTCTAAATAACAATGAAAGTTGTCCAAGAACAACTCTTAAAATAGCAGTGAGACACTTAATAACATAGAGATTTTCATCCCGGAAAACACTAACAATAATAATAATAATAATAATAATAATAATAATAATAATATAATAATATTTCTTTATTAGCCCTATACAATTTCTTGCATTAGGAATGCGTCTTTTCGCATACCCCAGCTTTTCTCCAGGGAGAAACAGACACAGACACAGGGAGAGAAGCTTGGGGTCAGAGCGCAGGGTCTGCCATTGTACGGCGCCCCTGGAGCAGTTGGGGTTAAGGGCCTTGCTCAGGGGCCCAACGGAGTAGGATTCCTCTGCCGGCCGTGGGATTTGAACCGGCAACCTTCCGGTCACAGGCGCAGATCCTTAGCCACAGAGCCACCGCTCCGCCCAATACAACAACAGAAAAAAGCAGCACATGTAAAAGTCCGACAAAATACAGAACTTCTTTATCAGGCTTACAGTCTTCATGAGCCCTTACTGAAGAACTCAGAGGTGATCTGAGTCATGTGTTCAAAACTCCAAGAATTATCAGCCATAATACTATTTTAAGAAAACAGTTTTAACTAGGAAACCTAGAATTCAAAGTACAAAGTGTGAGGGGTTACTGCAGAAAAAAAAAACTTGCCTGCTACTATACTCAATGGGCTGTGGGTGACTGAAACAAACTAATTGCTCTCTGAATGCTGTTCAAAGAATCTTTCAGAAAACACCTTCATGGCATCTTCAGAACGGTCAGCTTCTGGGAGTCAAATCAGCCAAAATATGCCCCTCCTTTCTAACCACTGTGCTTAGGAGCACAAGAACATGTATATGTTTTGAAATCATTTATTTTGAGAACACATCTGTAATAGACTCCTTTTTCAGTAAGTGCTTCAGTTTGCGTAAGAACAGGTCAAAACTATACCAAGTCATTTGTTGCTTATGCTACTCACCTAGTAAAGGTTTATACAAATTGGTCAACTTCGTAAAGCATGGAAACAAGTGAGGAAGGTAGTACTTCTTGAATAGTGCAAAGAGAAACCTGAAGCCAGTGTCTTGGTTTTCTCTGTTTCTCCATTCTAAGCTTGATGCCTTTGTAAAAACAAAATTACAAAAAATACAATTAACTAGTCTAGAAGCAAATTAATGGTATATCTGCATGCAGTCTCTGAAAACACATCCTAATGTGACATTTTATGACAAAGTTACAGTGACAACTGAAATTTCTAAAATTATTAACATGACAAAATGACAATTTAGGAAAAACTGTCAAAAACAGACCAACTACACTTGGCCCTTCTGACTGTTACCTTCGCTGGTGTTTTTGCCAGTGTCAGACTACTGGTAGGGCAGGAACTGGCATAAAATTTTAGATGCAAATTATTTGTAATTTCGTAAGCAAGGATTATTTAGTATAGAAAATCAGTTCACTGTTCATCTTTTTTTCTTTGGTACGTATGGGAATAACATTTAAAAGAAATAACTGAGCTAACAACTGTGAAAAGTTTCAAACTTTCAAAATAGGATTATTTCCTGGGGCGTGGATAAATGGCATCACTTAGGCTATCCATCACATTTAATAATAATCATAATACACAGCCGTGGGTCCTCAGAACTAACGCCCTGGGTGTTTTTTAAAACCCTAAGACTTATCTTTCTCCACCTCACCTGTATAACCATGTACTTCAGAAGAGTTTGAAGAAGAAAGCAGGTCTGGTCATCAGCTACTTTTTCTCCAGCTACAGCTGGCACAAGAGGTGTGATTTCTTCAGGAACAACCTTGGCTGCATTCGAAAAAATAAATTATTGCACTGAAAAACTACTGTGAAAATATGTATATGCTTTTTTTAAAAGAAAACATTTTATACAAAGCAAACATGCATGCCTTGAAAACGTAATCGCTCTTTTGCTATAAACATATGTCACTTTAAAGACAGTTTTTCTGTATTTTAAATCAGATCTAAAGAGCAATGAGTGTTAAAAATATCTAAAAGTCTAAAGGTTTTGTAGGGCGGTGTGGTGTAGTGGTAAGCGTGGCTGCTTCACAGTACGGGGCCCTGGGTTCACATCTTGGGATGCTATTTGTGTGCTCTTTGTACTGTATATTCTTCCCATGTTCGAGTGGGTTTCCTCCAGATGCTCCAGTTTTCTCCCACAGTGAGAAAACAGACTGGTCGGTTATCTGGCTTCTGCGAATACTGGCCCTGATATGAATGTGTGTGTGTCTGTGTGAGCCCAGTGACAGACGAGGGCCCTATCCAGGGTGCATCATGCATCCCTGCGACCCTGCATTGGATACTGCAGTAAGAATATGGACAGAGCCTTACTACAAGTATTCAGACCCTTCCCATGGCAACCTGTTCACAGAATGCTTTCAAACGTAATATTTTACTAAAAACCTGAATGCTCCAACTGAAAGCTTTTAATGTTACATCACAGAAAATGTCGGCAGAATTTTTTTAAAAAAATGAACTACACATATTATTTATATTCAGACAGGCATAAGTATTAAGACTTGTGAACCCAATGTTTGGTGGAAGAACCATTAACAACAATTACAGCCACAAGTCTTTTTGGGTTGGGCTCTATCAACATTTCATACTGTCTCTGTTCAATTTTTGCCCATCTTTCTTGACAGACTTGCTCAAGCTACGTTGCTTGGAGATCACTTATGGACAGCATTTTCCAAGTTTTTCCACGGATGCAAGCAGGATGAAATAAATTCACTACATGAGCTACATGGGCCCAGTGGCATCTTCTCATTTTTAACCTTGTATGTTGTAAGCCTGACTAGGCCACTCAAGGACATTCACTTTCTTATTCTTAAGCAGCTCCAGTGTAGCTATAGTCTTGTGCTTGGGAGTCTTTGTCCAGACAAAAGGTGACTTTTTGTACCAGTTTTGGGTCTGAAACAGGTTTTCCTCTAAACTGCTCCAGTACTTTGCTCCATTTATGTTCCTATCAGTCTTGAGAAGCTGATGAAAAGCTGAACCATGACATATCGCTCCCACCACCATACCTGACAATGGGGAAGGTGCTGATTGAGTCATAGTGTTGCGTTTATAACAGCTATAGTGCTTTGCATTAATAACAAAAAAATCCAATTTTGTTTAGTCTGACCACAAAACCTTTTTTCACACAGTATGGTTGCAATATTACTTAAACACCTTTCTGCAAACCCCAATGCAGGATTTGAGATGGATTCATTCACTTTGTCATACAGACCAGCTTTCTGGAGTGACCATGTTATTACTGACTCATCCACATGTTCTTCCATCTCAGCCATTGAGCCTGCAGCTTAATACAACTTACACAACTTTATCCCCGAGTTCTTCTGAAAGCTCTTTGGTGTCAGTGGCTGGATCTGTGCTTGTAGTTCACTACCTAACTGAAGGGCATTATAGAGCCAGTTGTGTTCTTTCTGAAATCATGCAAACCACTATTATTAACACAGAGGTCACTCGTGACTCAAAGTAATTTTGTGCACCAAAAGTTAGGTTTATACATTAATTTAGGTTTGCCACAGCAAAAGGGTTTGAAAACTTATGCAATTGTGATTTCTCTGTTTTTCTTCCATCTTATTGGCTTCTTTTGGCTATTAATGTATGGAGTAGGCTAAGTATATAATCAATAATTGCTACTTTGAAGTGTCATAACTGCACGTTTTAAAGAAAATGTGAAAGGGTCTGAATACTTTTCCAAAGCAAGCTACTGCATATATCAAACAAGACAACAAGCAGAGCAAGCTTCACTCACCATCAGGCGGGTTAGAGAAGGGGTTGTAAATGATAGTGTCCAGAGTACAAGGACCCCTGGAGGATGGCACTGCAGGGAACCCGGGCACCAGGCAAGCAAAGATTAACAACTGTTCTTCAGAGCAATTGTTCTGGAGCGCCTGGAGCCACAGTAAGAACAGGCGGATTCCTTCACTTCTTATCTACAGTAAAAAAGGAACAAAATATATTATTCAGATCATCTTGGCTATTAATGTAGTTCTACTGTTATTTCCGTATACGCTTTTGAATTTATTGTAAGGGTTAAAAGATCCTTATGTGTATTAAGTATATAACAGTACAGAACCCTGATGAACAAACACTGGTTAGTACTCCTCACAGGCCTCACAGCCTCACAGCTCCAGGCCCTGGGTTCGACTGCAGGCATGTTTTATGGATTTTCTTGGGTGCCACTCCAATTGCCTGCAGATCAGAGTTGCCGACCGGCTACTCTAAATGTTCTTCTGGCCAGTACTGGCTATGGGGCTACAGACAAACAGACCCAGATGACCTGCTCAGTGATCTCCTCTTATCTGCGGCTCTCTGAAGTTCTGAAGCCTTTGAGCCAGCCAGCTCTAGACGGTCTATCCGTACACGCAACACACAGGTAGTGCTCGATTTTCACTGCACGTGCATTTCTGAAAAATGCGCTGTAAACTAAAAACATGCAAATTTAAAACAAATTCCCCCCTAAGAATGCATGTAAATATGGGGTGGCATTCTGGGTCCACATGTCCAATCTGAGCACTGAACTCCCAGACACGGACAATTACACATATTTATTCCAGAGTGATATTTGCACGGTTGTACTTAAAGTCATTTGTAAACCAAACGTTTGTGTGTTTGTCAATCAGTGTGGAAAATGCAGGAGCCTCATTCCCAAAGGGATCCTTTTATGCTCAGTGAGCCTTTTAAATGCCATTTTTTGTAAATGTATTACTTACACATTTCTTTCCTTAATCTGATTTTTAGACGATTAATAATTGTAGGCTGCTATACAAAATTATTATTTATTGAATGCTCCTGGCAACAATTTTAAATTTAGATGCTTTCAAAGGTTGAATTAATGTTACCTTCCTTTCATTAAATTTCATTTTAAAGTTTTTTTCCCAACACAGCAGTTTACTTTATTTTAGGAGTTTATTATATTTATTACAGATTTTATACATTATAAGCATACCGTACAAAGACAATACAGACAATTTTTAGGCATTTGCACAGGTAGTTCATGTGGGGTGATGGGACTTGTTGGTGGCTGGGAGACCTATTGGCATCACCCCCAGGTGGACCTGTTTGTCCTGGGACAGAACTGGGCTCTCTGGGGTTCACACTGCATCTAGTTAAACAGGACTAGGGAACCAAGTACTAATGGAGGACAGACCTGTAAAAAGCAAAACAGCAGGCACTAACTGTGCGTGTGCTGCCTCCATTTAGTCTGAAGAACAGAAAAACAAACTGTGATACTGAATATTTGATGCACTTACTGACCAGATCTGGAAAAAAAATATTTGCTCTAAAAATAACACGGAAGGGTGTGCTTATTCTAAACAAACCTATTCTTTGCAACATTCCAATTCAAAATTAAATGTCAGAAAGAAATGAGGAATGTAACACCAAAATGCAACATTTACATTTGGTACAGAAAGACACTTTTCTGGTATGTGTCTACTCCCTGATACACGAAATGGTAAAAAAAAAAGAGCTGAAACATGGTCCCATTAAAGGTGTTGTTAAATGCAACAAACAGTCAAGATTAAGATGTGAACTAAATAATAACTTTGGCCCACTCCCGAATCTTAACCTCCAAGCCCAGAAATACAATTGTTGCTTGTCTCATCACAGCCAGAGGCTTCTTTTATCACACGGTCACCTGCCATTCAAGTGCAGGGCACTTAATGGGTGGTATTAAGATTTAATTTAATCTTGTTCTAAACCTAAATGACACATCATACATTAAGAAGAATGGCTGGTATTTCCTGACTTTAAAACCAATCAAAAATGTTGCCATGAGCTAAAAAGAAAATAAAAAGATGAATACATACTGTATACACCTGTAACTGTCACCATGGAGAGATATTTTCAAAAATCGTTTTTTACAGTTTATAAATGTGTGCATTTGTTAGCTTAACTAAGTCAATTACCTTAGAAAGTAATTAGCATTTTGTGGTTTGTTGCAGTTTAAAAAATTCATAAACAGCGTGAGTTGGTGCTCTCCCATAATCATGAATCTCCTATTGAGTCGAGTCTAATAAAGTCCCAAAGGCCAAAGGGTTTGTCTTTTATGCATTAAGTTTGTTTTTAACAGTCTCTTTAATATTTAAGCATCGTGAAGGCCTCCAATGCTTTGTGTCTTTCATGTGACAGACGGCTTTACCTTGAAAGAGTTTCCAGTATGCAAAAGCTTCTTCAAAATAGTACCTAAAACACAAAAGGCATGAACCGAAATATTATTATACACAAAAACAAAGTATTTTTATTCATTTTTCCACCTTTTGCACACAAAAACTGTAGTAAAGCTTAACCTTATGCAATTAAGATATACAGTATCCGGAGGTTCTCAGTACGTATTTGATAAAGGCTTTTAGGCACATATCAAATGAGACAAATGAGCTATGTAAAGAGAACAATACTGTAATATTCACTTTACTTCTAGAGCATTATCATAATATATAGATTTTTGGCTCATGTTCTGTTCCTACTCTTGCAGTTGCTGTGATGTCCCTGCTGTATTCAGGGCATTGTAGAGTGAGAGTTGGTCTATATGACACTAGTTCTGAAAGCAGGATTTAATTCTAGGATTATCATAACAGAAGTGTTCCTACTGTTATGTTACTAATAAAAACAATACTTCTTAGTCTAGTGATCCTATTTGTTTTAAAACAAATCTGCAATAAGAAAAATATTTCAAATATATTTTGGGGGCTGTTGCAGACTGGTCAAAAAAGGAAATTATTCCTAAATAATTACTCAGTAACACCCTGTTACTGAGTGTGCAACAATGCAAGGAGTATTTTTTCACATGTTCATCAGAACACATGAAATAGCGCTAACAAAACAGACAGCAGCTTTCACAGGCCACAATTCTGAGAGTCGCGAACAGCTTGTGAGAATTCTTCCAGACATCAAACTTCAGCTCAGGATAGAACACCCCCATCCTGTTTATACACACACTCCTGTTTTTTACACTCCCTTACAGTTTTGATCATTCCACACAGATGGCTGCTTAATACATCATCACTAACAAGATTAGGAACATTCCAAAATACATATCAACACTTAAATACATACACTGTCCTTCTCATTTAGTCATATGCCCCAAGAAACAGAATCAAAAATCATTTTATAACAGACTGAGTAACAGACTGGATGAGTTGAGTTGCTTAATGTTAAACTGCAATCATAATAGCCTTGCACAGAGCAAAGGCATATTTTCTGAAATCCATATAACACAAGGGTCACATTTATTCACAGTTCTTAGTGCTCCTTTAATAAATTCCAAACAATAAACCTATAATAACATGCTGCTCTTTGGAAATGAAACAGAGGTCTTCAGGGGTTCCCCCCTGAAGAGGTAACACACAGAAGACATAGAAGCATGCATTGTAATGGATAAAGGCAGACAGCTCCTCGAAGACTGCAGGAAAATGGTCACTGAAATTTGCCGCTTTATATCAGTATGACAATTAGAGTCATATCTTATGGTGAAACAAAATGAAAATTCGGCTTTTAACGCATGATTACCATGAAAAAGGTGATGCTTATGTTAAGAAAATGAGATATAACAGAAATATAACAGAATATATTGTGTTTTTGGGTAGTTTTCCATCAATGGGTTACCAGAGTGGGAATTATAAACAGTAGAGTCTCAGACATTTTGCCTAAACCTGGTTCCTTCTGCCATGTTCAAGCTTGTTTGAAAATGGACATCTGTGCAAGACAATGATCCAAATCATACCTCCAAACTGACAAAGAAATAAATCTTTGTGATTGATGTTGTGTGTGAAATAAACATTTTTTTACTGGCCATCTCTATCCTCACACCTCATTTCAATCTAAGATTTGTGGTTCAGCGGTTTAAAATACCACAGCATTATATTCACAAGATGAAAATGAAAAATGCACGTTCTTAATTCACTAATCACGATTAAAGACAACCTATACAACCTTAACACTACTAATCAAAGCTTTTTCAGCTTATTCCAGTTTAACAACTAGTTTGGGGTTTGTTAAAAATACAATCAAATGTTAGCAGTAAATACAGGAAACAGACATGCTGTTGTCTACCATGCAAGCAGTCCAACTATAAAAACTAGCCATATGTCAGTAAGCACATGGAATACAATTGTGTGTACAGTACTTACTGTATAAACGAACCCATTTTTATTAGCGCTATTATCATTTTGAAACAAACTATGGCATGTCTGATGAAGAAACCTTCAGGCTATTTACTGTATTCCCAATGTTCTCTCATGGTTCGATTAAACTTTTTATTTTTAGAGCAGATGTATCTGGGCATTCCTAAAGAATGGACGGTGTGAGTAGTAACTGTGCACTCCAAACAGAGCTTTACATGGAACTGGCCACAGTCATCCCTGAAGTCACCCCATAGCTTGGCTAGCCTACCCACTAGTTCTTGCTCAGTCTTACTATACTGGACCATGGTAATGAAAACTAAATCATGCAAAACCTTAACCTGGACAGCTCACAAAAGCCTTTACTTTGTCTACTACATATGCTAGAGGAGTAAAGTATTTACTCTGTTTTTGGACTTTAACATGAAAACAATCAAATGCTGTAATCATCTACAGTATCTTCCAAGGGCCTCTCTCAGTAAATGCTGTCCTTTTAGTTTTCATAATGCTTTACTTAACAATTACTCTCCACGTAAAAAGATGGAGACTGTAATGTTTAATCAACATTTCCTACTTCTGGTAAAATTAATCTTTCATGTAAAATTCAAATTTCCTAAAAAAAAAAACTGCACAACACAAGATTAAATGGTCATCAAAGAAATTTCATCCACTGTGCATGTCTATGATACAATAAAGCAGCATTTTTAGAACAATTAGGCAAAGACATTTGTGGCAAAGATCTCAGCTCTGTCGATACCAAAGAAATGCTTGACAAAGAGAATATTATAATTGAGGCTATCACTTCCTTAGAGGTATTTATTACCCAGGACTGTGAAACTCAGCAATGCATAATTATCTATTTGCATTTAAAATTAGGCTCTAATTTACATTTTTATTTACCCTTTCAGCAACTAATTATTTCTCTTTTGTACAAGTCATTTAAGCCTGGTGTGTGGACTTCTCTTTTGTCATGATTTATTTCTGTAATTATTAGCAAGAGGGGTGAGGTGGCCAAACACAGCTGTGGAACTAGACAGCTCACGTGGAAGCCAATGATGAACAGGCATTCCTACAAAGTAGCATATAGAACATTCGGAAACCTGTTAACATTTAACATTCCACTTTTATTTTACTCTTCTTCACTGTGTTCAAGAATCTTAAATTAAAACATACAAGCAAATGGCAATGAGAATGAAAGGGCAAAGGCGGACTCGACAAGTTCGCTCACAGCATAGAGAGCTACCATTTTTTTTTACTTTCATGACTCTTAAGTGTGCAATATTTCCAAGCACAGGGAATGAGCAAAACCAACACACCTCAGGGCTTACACACAAAATGTCACGGTGATAACAGACAATAACAATTATACCAAGGATACGGAGAGTGAAGAACACAACATTAGTGGATAGACAGCATTACGGAAAGACAGGGAAGATGGAAGAGGTAGAGATGTTGCAGGCACAGGAACATAACTAATCAAGGGCCTCAGAATATACTGCATATTGGGCAGCCTTATAGTAATAAAAGAGTCAAAGGACAAGGTTGGGAGAACATTAATGACCATATACTGAACCCTTAGGAATTATATGGATTTCTGCATGAATGGCTCCTAAAATGTGATCTGATCTTCATCTAAGTCATAATAATGACTTTATTAAGGCTTATTTAACAAACAACAGACACAACGTTTTACATTGTCATATCTTTATTAAACAAAGGATTTAAACAATCAAGGTCATTGATGGAAAAAGTATGTGAACCCTTATATTTAGTAACTAATGGAACCTCCTTTATTGGCAATAACCTCAACCAAACGCTTTCTGTAGCTGCCGCTCAGACCTGCGTAGTGGTTAGGAGGTATTTTGGCCCATTTCTCTATACGAAACTGTTTCAGTTCATGTACATTTTTGGGATGTCTTGCTTGAACGGCCTGCTTCAGATCACACCACAGCATTTCAAAAGAGATTGAGGTCAGCACTCTTACTTAGCCATTCAAAAATTAGGAATTTCTTCTGTTTGAGCCATTCTGTTGTTGATTTATTCCTGTGTTTTGGATCACTGTCATGTTGCATGACCCAACTTCTTTTGCAAGCAGCCAGCAGCCATATCACCCTGCAACTCACAACTGGCAACCCACTGAAGCTCAGCAGGTGTGAGCCTGGTCAGTACCTAGATGGGAGACCTCCTGGGAAAAACAAAGCTTGCTGCTGGAAGAGGTGTTAGTGGGGCCAGCAGGGGGCGCTCACCCTGCGGTCCATGTGGGTCCTAATGCCCCAGTACAGTGACGGGGACACTATACTGTAAATAGGCACCGTCCTTTGGATGAGATGTAAAACCGAGGTCCTGACTCTCTGTGGTCATTAAAAATCCCATGGCGTTTCTCAAAAGGAGTAGGGGTGTAACCCCGGCGTCCTGGCCTTTACCAATCATGGCCTCCTAATAATCCCCATCTATGAATTGGCTTCATTACTCTGCTCTCCTCCCCACTGAGAGCTGGTGTGTGGTGATCATTCTGGCGCACTATGGCTGCCGTCGCATCATCCAGGTGGGGCTGCACACTGGTGGTGGTGGAGGGGAGTCCCCAGTACCTGTAAAGCGCTTTGAGAGGAGTGTCCAGAAAAGCGCTATATAAGTGTAAGCAATTATTATTAATTTTGAGTTTTACATCACAGACAGACATCACAGATTCTGCTGTAGAATGTCCTGCTACAACTTGGAATTCATTGGTCCCTCGCGAGCTTGCGAGCTGTCCAGGCCCTGAGGCAGCAAAGCAGCCCCACACCATTATACTCCCTTCACCATGCTTCACAGCTGGGATGAGGTTTTGGTGGTGGTACGTAGTGTTTTGTTTTCTCCAAACATAACGCTGTGTACATTGACCAAAAAAGTTTAACTTTTGTCTCATTTGTCCGCAGAACATTGTTCCAGTAGTGCTGTGGAACATCCAGGTGGTCTTCAGCAAACTTGAGACAGACAGCAACGTTTTTGTTTGGAGAGTTTCCTCCGTGGTAGCCTCCCATGAACACCACTCTTGTTCAGTGTTTTTCCTATGGTAGACTCATGAACACAGACGTTATCAAGTGCAAGAGATGCCTGTAGATCCCTAGCTGTCACCCTAGGGTTCCCTGTCACCTGTTTGAGGATTGTATGGCATGCCCTTTGTACAGTAGGATGCCCACTCCTAGAAAGAGTAGCAATGGTGCTCAGTTTCTTCCACTTGCAAACTTTCTGCCTTAAGATAAATCACAAAATCTGCAGGACTTTATGGTATTGTATCAATTAAGAAAGCAATATATTATTAATAGATTTAACAAATCTCTTCCTACCAGCACTCTAGGCACAATACTTCTAACAAGGCAATATCTGTTATCTGTATAACACTGGGTTTCTAAGAAGTAGGCATCATGAACACAGAAAAGGGAGGTCTTGCAGCAGCAGTAATGGATACAAACAGAGCATATGTGATATATGTGATTTAATGAAAGCTCTCATTAAAAATTCAAACCCTAAATTGCAAGCATTGGACATTCACATTAATGAATTATTTTGAGAACTGGTTAATGGACAGAACAGAAATGCTCAGATTGGGGTGATGTAATCAGTAGGCTACCACAGGAATCTGTATTAGGTCTGCTGTTGTTCCTAATGCTCATACCAGAAATATCCAGAAAATCAAGAGTAAACCAAGTTCACAGATGATGCCAAAATACGAGCACTACAGAAACTGCAAAGGAAATGATAAAAAACTGGGTGGACAGATGAGATAATGTAGATACTGTAAGTGCAAAGTATTACAATAAAGGTAGCAAAAACAAACAAACATAAAAAGGGAAAAGGAAGAAGTAATAGGTTTATTATGCTATTATAAATGGCTTAATGACATTTAACAGCTAGCATTTTAAACCGGCGTCACACTACAGGACTCGACATGACTTCTAGTCGGAGAGCATGTCAAATTTAATGACTGCAGTTGCTAAATAATAATAATTAATAATTGCTTACACCTGGATGATGTGACGGCAGCCATAGTGTGCCAGTACACTCACCACACCGCAGCTCTCAGTGTGGAGGAAAGCAGAGTAATGTTGCCAATTCATAGAGGGGGATTATTAGGAGGTCCTGATTGGTAAGGGGCAATGTGAAATTTGGCCAGAATGCCAGGGTTACACCCCTACTTCGAGAAACACCCTCGGATTTTTAATGTCCACAGAGAGTCAGGACCTCGGTTTTACGTCTCATCCGAAGGACGGCGCCATTTTACAGTATAGTGTACCCATCACCATACTGGGGCATTAGGACCCACATGGACCGCAGGGTGAGCCTCTTACAGAGGCAACCTTAGTTTTTTCCAGGAGGTCTCCCATCCAGGTACTGACCAGGCTCACACCCGCTTAGCTTCAGTGGGTTGCCAGTTGTGAGTTGCAGGGTGATATGGCTGCTGGCAAATCTCGCTGCCTTTTCTGTCCTGGAGAGTGTCAAATTATACGACTTGGAATCGCAGGGGGTAACTAATTACAAGATTCTCTCACGTCTTTTCATCATGGTTCCTAATCTTGTATTGCGCCGTGAAAGTACCGCGAGGTCGCCTCATTTTGGCAGCCACATGGAGCACACCGGAATAGGAGGAGGAGCGCCGCACGAAAGTAAACAAACAGCATGGAGAACAAGCAGGTAAACATCTTGAAAAATGTGACACAGGCATTGTTTTCTACAAATAAACATCTTCAAAAAATGAAATAATTCTTCTTTATAAATATAGAACAGATTTATAAAAATAAAAGTTAAAAATATAAAACACCTTTAAAACAAATATTGTAAACAAATTACTATTGCGCTATAACGTTTAATATAATGGGCACATTACAGTATCTCACAAGTACACATCTGGCTCACTGTCCACCCACCACGACTTGCGTTTGATTTTGTCGTAGCGAGTCGCAGAGAGTAGTGGGGGCTGACTGAGTCGCTGGGGGTGTCACATTACACAACTGACGGTAACGGACGCGCGCTGAGACTCTCTACAACTCGCTGTGATTTTCTTACGATTATGTGAATGAAGGCTATGACTGAAAAGCCTAGGAAAAGTCGTGTTGTGTGATGCCGGCATTAATAAGCCAAAAAGGACTGAAATGCCTGCTCTTGTTTTTAACATTTCTAACAGTTCTATGGAACGAAAGAGCAAAATATGTCTACAACTGACACAGATGTTGCTCCATCAGTGCTTAAAACATTTCTTACCTATACTGTGGAACTGCCATCTATTGTATATCTTTTCTGGAAGAAGTTGAAGAATTTTCTGTTGAAGAAATAAAATACATTTATTTCAATATTTTCATGTACTTTTCTTTTCAGACGCAAGCATAGAAATGAGCCGCTGTCCTGCTCATGAAGGATGAAGGTAACATACTGTATACCAATAACCAGAAGAAACTTCTCACTTATAACCGCAAGAAATTTGCAAAGTTATCGGGCTAATTACCCATTTCTGCAGCAGCAGCAGATGCACTGAAATTTTATTGGACAGACATGACACAGTGGCATGTGTTGCCAACACTGCAGCTATGCGTTGCGCCAGGTTGAAGCTGTCTTGCGGGGTTCAGTCTCATTCCTCCCATGCGGCCCGCACAAGCACGCGCCAGTTCACTTGGTCTCTCTGCCCCGCACGCCGCATGCCATGCCAGCGCCATCCGCAGATGTCGAAGGGTACACAAATCTGGTATCCGCTGCATGACTTTCACATAGGATATCCATGGTTACATGAGCAGCATGTGGACCTGTGCTGTCCTGTTGGGTTGTTCTCACACTAGTCTGGGTCTAGTCGACCTCTACAGGAAGGGAAGACGTGGGGCTCAGCTGACCCATGCATGGGGCACAGCGCAATCACTGCAGGTGGAGCTCTGTAGAACCCCGACACACACTCTTCGTACCATCATGCTTGAAAAGCTGGCATGACTCGTAGTTCCCCAAATTATGGCCATTGACGGACCGAAATGTCATGCTGGGATAGGAACTGGCAGCTGTGAACACCTGATGGCAAGCAATTATGTGTTGGCTCATTCTAGCATCCCTCGTACCAGTGGCACAAAGTTGCTGTGTTCTTGAAAATCGGGGTCAATGAGTTGAGCTACTGTACCTCATTACCTATTGCCCAAAGAAACAATCTCATCTAATGAGGAAATATAGTGCTTATGCAACAGTCAAAAACATTTAACATTAACATTAGTTTATTAACCCTTTACAATTTCTTGCATTAGGAATTATCTTTTCGCATACCCCAGCTTGCTCTCCATGAGACACACAGACAGGGAGAGAAGCTTGGGGTCAGAGCACAGGGTCAGCCATTGTACAGCGCCCCTGGAGCAGTTGGGATTAAGGGCCTTGCTCAGGAGCCCAACGGAATAGGATTCCTCTGCCATCTGCGGGATTTGAACCGGCAACCTTCTAGCCACAGGCGCAGATCCTGAGCCACAGAGCCACCACCTCCGCCCCAGCGTTGATGATCGCTGATTCATGCAAAAATCCTACCAAATTGTATACTACTGTATATAGGCTATGAAGGTTGCAAAGGATTCATTCATAACTGGTCATTCACGACTATGATGCAGTCAATCAAAAGAACACCAAAAACATTACATCAATATCAATACCCCTAAAATTATTCAAAAACCGTACATGGAAAGTTTCAATGTGCAGTATATTATCAACAAGATCATATTATCATCAGAAAACTTCTTGTCTTGAAACCACTCTCTCTCTCAAAGTATAATGCTCACACCTTATTTAAAAAAGACAACCAGCAAAGAAGAACACCCAGGAGTGTATTCAATTTTAGAATCTCACAAGAGAAATGAAAATAGTAAAATGAAGGTGCAGAAGCTTGAGTAGACCATACGTTGATGATCGCTGATTTATGCGAAAATTCTACCAAATTGTATACTATATAGGCTATGAAGGCTGCAAAGGATTCATAAAAATAGACAGTAGTGATAATAGGTCACAAATTAGAGTGAAATCAGATAATGTGAACAGAGCAATTGATCAGAATGACCATTTTAATACTTTACAGAGAGTTTTAAAACATTTAGACAGTTCAAAATGCTCTCCTGTACAAAATCAAAAATATATAAAACAAATACATATTTACTGTACACACAGGACAATACAGTTATTATTACATGTAATTAAATACAGTACATTCTACTGTATGTGTGTCCATTCACGCTGAATTGTTCTTGATTGTCATAAGCAATTTTTTTCCCCCAAATAAAACTAGGCTCATATTTTTCTTCAGTTTGCAGAAAATTATTTTCAGGATCTTTTTCAGTTCAGAAACAAGACTCATTAATGCATAAAGCCACATTTTTCTATATTCTGCATAAAGAAATTGAAACTATTTTACTGCTATATGACTGTCCCAGCTTCCTATGAAGCAAAATAAGCCAAACTACCATGGTAATTTTCATTTTAAATATTGACTTTAGAAATCAAAACATCTTTGATAAACATTGCTAAAATGTCCCTTTTAATCTTAGAGAAAACAACTTTACGAGTCAAACTATCACTGAAACTGAAAGGCATGCAAACAACTTCAGTTGAACTAACTTCAACTATTCAGATTTAATCTCCTCTGAGAATTAGTTTTCAGGATATCTAGAAAGAACAAACTTCCCCTTGTAAGAAACAGCCTGCTTCTGGCAGTTAAACAGATACTGGTGTTCATATCAAGTTCCTACCGTGCAAATTTAATTCTCCTCAAGAGTGTGGTGAAAGATCCTCTGCCACACCTTCATGAATCTTTGCAGTACATAAACAGTGCTTGCATTTGATTCCAGATCATGGACAGGCCAGTATATAACATCTGAAAATTGCTCCTGCGGACAATAAACTCTCACTAAAGTACAATTTTAACCCCAACTGCACCACTGCAATTGTCACAATCATCCAAGATTCCATTTCACTGATACCATTATTAAAGGAATACACTCTTCGGGATCAGCTCTGGGCAGTGAGAGTATTTTGGCCTGACTGACCACAATCCTTTTCCATACCCAAACCTGATCGAGGAGCCAGAAATCACAATGTCAAGCAATGACAATCACTGTCACTGCTCATAGCTGAACCTGACTTTAAATTGTGTTTTCTTTATGTAAAAAGACAGGCTTGGAAGACAACTGTACAGTAGAGAATAAAAGCCAAAAATGAATCAATTTTTGAGACTTAAACAACATTTTCCAGGATGTTTCAGACAGCAGTCACTTTTCAATGTAGAAAACATTAATATGAGACATTTACAAAAGTTGAATTTCATTTCAAAGTGGCAATACAGACATTATTAAAGCGAATAGAGCAGTATTGCTGTATAGAGACTAATGCTACATACTGTATCTAGCTGGGTAGAAACTAAGAGGATTCAATAATTGCAATGAAGTACAGATGAAAGAATGTGACAACTTCTTTCTAGCTGGCACTCAGTAAGTAATCAGGTTTGGAATGTGAAGTGATTATTAAATGATTTTGATTTCATACATTTAATTGACCGTGCTACAAAGATCAAGAAAGAAGTGAATGAAAGTCATTTTTATAGCAGATTGTAAAAAAGACTTTGCTAACCATTCATGCAACATACAGTACATACTGTACAGCCTTGAAAAATGTACATCTCAGTTGTGAAATCCTAGCAACCCTAGTTACTGCATCTAGCATTTTACAATTGTGAAATTAAATAATGCTATTCAAACTAATGCAAGCAGTTTGGGTCAAATGTCAAGGTAATTCTTCCTGAAGTAATTTCAGCACACTCAAAATATGATGTACTGAACATTCGGCAAGGATTACTTGTGAAACATATAATATAAGGTAATACTGTATAAGGTTAAGAAAGATCAAATGATCATTGGGAAAAAGAACTATTTTCATTTTTAATGTTTCGAAACACTTCACAAATGACAAAAGAAGACTGAAACACATTTTTAACAAACTGCTCAAAGAGATATTTAACACCTGTTTGAGATACAGTACAGTTTTTCAGCAGAACTTCTGACTTCCGATATCATGTTAGTGGATGTTCTGTAGAGGCCTGAATGTACAGAATTAAGCCAAAGATTGTTAAAAACAACATTTAAGAGACACATACAGTGTCTAACACTTTATTTTTGCAAAACACATTTTATAAATACATCGGGGGTGCGGGGGCTCTGTGGCTATGGATCTGCACCTGTGGCTGGAAGGTTGCTGGTTCGCATCCCGCAGCTGGTAGAGGAATCCTACTCTGTTGGGCCCCTGAGCAAGGCCCTTAACCCCAACTGCTCCAAGGGCGCTGTACAATGGCTGACCCTGCGCTCTGACCCCAAGCTTCTCTACCTGTCTGTGTGTCTGTGTGTCTCATGGAGAGCAAGTTGGGGTATGCGAAAAGACAAATTCCTAATACAAAGAATTGTATATGGTCAATAAAGTGATCTTACACTGTATTAGGTGGTCAGCAGTATGAGATGAATGTATGAATCTAGAAAAAAATATCCCAGCTCAAGGGTAATTTTGCAAAATGAACACTCTCGCCAATAAATGGAGTGTTAGGGAAGGACAGAACAAGTGGAATGTGTTTCTGTTTATGTGAGTTTCTCTTTTGTTCCTAAAGCTGCTTTTTGCCCAGATAAAGACTCTGTATATCCTGTGCAAAACATATCCCATCAATGAAAAAGAGATTTTGTTTTTAGCATGCTTAGGATGGAAATAGCTGTAAACAAGATGAGTTTGCGAAAGAAGGTTATTAATCATTACTATGAATGAGCAGCTGCTAGGTTAATAACACTATTCATCTACTATAGGTTGTAAACAATTTATAAATGGAATTTGCAACCCCTAGAGTGTCACCAACATATCTTTAAAGGCACAGCACAAGGTCCTGTTAAGCCTCAGTTTCAGGAATAACATAATATCCACTTCCTCTCCTGCCATTTGAGTGATGCTTACACATGAAACCATCACAAATGTAAATAATTCCCTGCTGTTCTCCAACAGCAACCATAATAATGTAATTTACTAGCTGAAAATGCATTGCTCAGAGTCTTCCAAAGGCTAGACAGATTTCATTGCTGGTGTTATTCTAATCCTTTACTTTAAACTAGGCATAAAGATTTGGTATTACTACGGTCCATTTGCCAGGGGGGCTGTCAGTTATACAGTTTATATGCTCAGTAGTCAGGTTTCCAGCGACAGTATGATCATGACTCAGAATATTTTTCAAAGATCTTCAATTTACTAAGAACAGACACACACCATTTTTAGTATTCCAATAAG